CTTTTAAAACTCTGTTGTCAAGACTCGAGCTGCTTCATTGTACTTCTGGTTAATGTGTGTGAGGCGCTGCAACAAGTTTGAATTTTGGATTCGTAGTTGGGCCACCCGCTGAGAATAATGGATTAGGATATCTACAAAGGTGAAAATGGGGAAGGCAAAGGAGGTGGAAGAAGCAGAAAGAAGACAAAGGGGGAGAAGAAGAAGAAGCAGAAAGAGGCAGCAGAATAGAAAACCCACCTTTGTCTCAAGGTCTGTTTTTCTTCATCTAAAATCTTCATCGAAAAGCATCCTGAAAAACGGTATATATCAGTATGTTGAACGCAAAGGAATTAAATAAAGTTAAATAGGGGAAGTTGGAACGAGTACAAGATCAATCTGTTTGGCAATTAACCAGTGATGGATTTCAGTTTGAATTATGGCTGTTCCTACATGATTGTGATTAGGATGCCTTAATCTGTGTCTATGTAATAATTACGAATTTAATCCAGTACAAGACCAATATGTTAAGATAATTAGACAATTTTGTGATTGATTGATTGATTGATTGATTGATTATGAAGTGGATAGTTTAACTTTAAATTATGATTTATTCATGATTGATTAAGGACAACTTTTTTTTTATACATATCCACTTCATTTAGTAATAAATAAAAGTTTTAAAAAAAATTGTTACATATTTGTACTCTTTATCTTACTTGATTGGAATTAAGAAAGCTTATATTTTTGTATCAAAATAAGATTTCATTTGAAGAAAACATTCTGTTAATTAATTCCGAGAAAGTAAAGTCTTTCTCTTTCTTGCGGTTCCCTCTCACTTCCTTACCCCATTTTCTTTAACACAATAATTGACATACCCAGACAACAGATTTTGCTGTAGATAATTTTAGATTTTAGCGTCACATGCATCCTACGGTATGCTAAAAAAGTTTAAGCTATGAAGTCAAGGCCCCCTTCAAGCTATGAAGTCAAGGCCCCCTTCAAGATCATCTTGACACCAAAAGTGACCCTACAACACAAGCATACGTGGATGGAATCACCCATCATCAGCCTGTTTTTCTTGCCTGACTGTTGATCTGGGATATAAAGATGATTAGAGAGACATAGCGAGATCCGCAGAAACTTCAATTTACATGATGCAGTGCCTTGTGTAGATTTCATCAGTGTTTTTCTGTTTAATACAGCAGACAGAAAGCTGATTTTAACTTAACATCCAGGCAAAATGTAGTTGACACAAAGAATAGCATTTTTACACAGTTAGCCCAAGAATAATAGTGCCATCAAATCATTTTTTTAGGCATTCTTCAGTTAAACCAACTTCACAGTTTTGAGTCCTCTGTGTCACTGCTTGTCCTTGGAGGGAGGCATAGAGGGACTCATGCTTCCACGGATCCGCTTCTGCAGATGCTCCAAGCTAGCCACTCGTTGCAAGGAAGCTGTCCGTGCCCCTTTGTTTCCTACTGCTCCTCCAGAATTCACTTGTATATTTTCAACAGAAGAAATGTCTGCCAATGCATCGTTGACTATCAGATCATGAGAGGATACAGGATTGTTTATAGCAGACTGATAAACTTGATGTTTTGGGTCTTCCTGCACAGGAACTGCAGCATCTGCTGATGTGTCAGAAGGGCTTCTGTCGAAGGATGGCATTCCCACTGTTGATACCTCAGGCATAATATGGAACATGGGGTTCAACCCAGTAATTCTTTTGACTGTCTCCTCAGCCATTTTTACCTGGAAAAACATTCAATCAAAGGAAATTATTTCCCTTTTTTTCCTCTTTACTTTTTATTGGTTCCGTCAATCTACAGAGTTTTGATTAATCGACCAAAAAATCAACAATAAGATCTAATAACAAATACAGGCTTACCTTTGCTCTCAGTGTTTCCACGTCAGCTTTTAAAACTCTGTTGTCAACAGCTGCTTCATTGTACTTCTGGCTTACATCGGTGAGACGCTTCAATAAGTTGGAATTTTCAACTCGTAGTTGGGAAACCTAGAGAGGAGAATGGATTAGGCTATCATCAAGGGTAATAAGAAGAAAATGGGGAACGAAGAGGATTAGAAAAGGACAGAAAAAACCATTAGGGAGAGATAGAGAATTCACCTGTGTCTCAAGCTCCGTTAAATGAGCTTGTTTTCTTCTTCTAGAGCGTCTAGCTGACTCTCTGTTGGAAAGCATTCTGAGAAACCGTATGTCAATCAGTTGGACAGAATGGGGCCAAAAGATAGATCAATTTGACAGAATGGAATTCAACATAGATAAAAGTGAAGATGAACAAGATCAAGAAATGACCACATGCACAGGCTTACAGATCTGGGTGGAGATATTTTGCTGTCAAATGCAGAAATAAATACCATGCAATAAAGAATAGTCTTTTACATGAATGATGAACCTATGACTATCACAATCTACAGCTTAGCCATTTAAACATGTATGAACCCTTAAAAACAAAAACTATTTTGGCTACATATAATTTTGATCCTATTATTAAAGCAAAGACTTTCCCAGCAGAAAATCATAGTAAAATGTTTAGGGATCTAGCTGATGGTGGGATATTAGTCTTCAAATCATCTAAACAAATGATAATAATATAAGCATTGACTTCTTAGTGTATGAGAAGCAGCAGCAAGAACCAAACTATGGTTACCTCCTTATACGTTTTGCATCAGCAGGGCCCATATCCTCAGTTGCAAGTTCTCCTTCAACCTCATCATCTTCTGACTGCTCTCTTGATGAACCACTTGTTGACCTCACCGCAAACACTGATTTCTTTTGCCCAGGTACCATATTTCCATCATTCCCTCCAGGTCCTACAGAAGAAATAACAGGGGAGCATTATAAGGTGCCACTACTTATATAGGCAACTAACCAATGAGAAAAGGTTATTATATGGAAGTAGCTTTAGAAATTCCCACATAACCTGGACTTGGTCTGGCACAACAGAAAATACACATGCACAAACAACAGAAGACCTAATAAAACATGTCTCAGAAAACAGCTTAACTGTTTTGAAATGACAAAAACCAAAAGTATGAAATAAATATTCTGGACAATATCTTTCAACCATTGCCCACCAAGTTTCAACTGCTCCGTCCAGAAAACTCTGTATAGCTATAACCGAGGCAATATGCTTCAAATTCTTAGTTTCTCAGAAGGCTCACCAATAGGATAAGTGTCTTTTCCTATCTCTAGGCACATAGATGGCTAAGAGTAAGATCAATTATCTTGCTTAGTTTAGTCTTCTTCTTCTTCTTGTTGTTTTTATTTATTTATTTATTTTGTCAGCCTTGCTAAGTTTAGTTTATAGGAGCATCAGAATGATTGGTTGAATTAGATGTCCAGCCCTTATCTACCAATATGAGATCTGGAGATCTTTCACTGATAATTGTGTTGTTTTAGATACATACACACTTGTACACTCAAGGATACAAACTGAGAAGTAGTACACAAAATATTCAATGATGCATGCAAACCTTTTGAGGCTGCCTTAGGTCCCACTTGTGAAGAACTGGAGACAACTGATCCACTGTCAGCTCTTGCAGCAGATTCTTGGGGTTTTACAAAAGATGCCTGTTTGACACACATACAACATATTGAGTAGTCACATAACAGAAGAGAACAATTTAGTTAACTGATATTTGTAACTTACCAATCCAGAAAGACAGTAGTTAGAAGTATCATTAGATGTAAATAATTGAGAGTATACAACAATTTAGTCACTTTTTCCAAAGCCCCATTGGCAGAAGTGCTTAAGATATATGGTTTTCCCCCAAAATCTGAAAAGGGTTGATCTCTGGAACTGCAGGCATGTTACAAGACCATCACCCGGAACAGAAGTATTCCAACAAATATTTTTGAGTTACAATAATATATCTCAGCAAGTCCTAGAAAACCAACCGACAAGGCTAGGATAGTATTTTTCTTTCCTCTTTATTCCTTTCTGGTCAGCCAACAAAGTTAGTGATTAGCTATTGCAAGTATTTAAAACCCTGACTTTGACCTCAAAATCAAGGTTTCTAAAGTTAGTGACGACCAGCTCAGATAAGAGAGTTGGACATATTTCCTGTGGGCATTCTTACCATGCTGTCATAAGATATAGATCATCATGGTAGCACGAGGTAATATTACTGTACCACTTCAACCTTATAAATTTTTTCTGAATGAGAGATTTTCCATGAATGTTCTTGAAAGCTCTTTCACTAAAAAAGGAGCCATTTTATTCATTGATTTCAGTTACCCAGATCTTCCTTTCCAGAAAATTTTTTGATGAACTATTTAACATAAATTAGATTAATAAATCTTGTATCAAATCCTGAAAATCAAATTATCACCTTCAAGCACAATCCGTTTTTAGAGCTTCTGGTTCCTTGCTTTTGTTTTCAGTCAAAGATTGCTGAAGAAACATGTGCTTTTTACATCTCATGCCTGATTTTAGCTGTTCAACTCCTTTTGTAAGGATTTTATAGCTTTTAAGGTAAAAAACACTTTCCTTACACTGACAAATCCCCTAAAGTGACAATAATCACAACCCAACAAGAAAAAGGACATGCAGTTATGCTCCAATCAACCAAGACCCCTGATTTTGGCAAAAAAAAAAAAAAAACCAAGACCTCTTATTGAAGAGACTAAGAAAAGAAGAAAACCCAGTAGTTTGAAAGATAAAAGCTTCTTGTTTAATTGGTACCCAGAAGGCAAATCACAGTCTTCACTCTAGTGAAAGGTTAAATCAAACCAACCATCCTTCCATTTTCGCGGTGACCAAACAAAACCAATAACATCCCAAAATTCATTTCTTCACTCCAGTTTTCTCAGCAGCAATATACAAGCAGAAGAGAAATAATAAGAATAAAAATCAAAAGTAAAGAAAACGGAAAAAGATTTAAGAATTTCCTTCCCTTGAGTTTTCCAGCATCTATATTCAACCCAGAAGTAAACACCAAGGAACAGAAATAAAGAAAAAGGAAAACGAAGGAAGATCCAAACTGAGCAATATGCAGACTGACCCGACTCAAAGCAACAGCAGCACAAGCCAAATTGAGCTTGTTCTTGAGGAACGCCTGGTACTCATCGGAATCCACGGGGATTTTGGGCGCACCCCCATTGAAAGCCTCCGTCCCACCATTCTTCTCAATCGACGTCGACTTCACATTAGTGGACACCTCGGTTACACAGCTGGTCCCAGTAGCGTCCTTGGGAGGACTCTGATTCAGCTCCGGATTGTTCTCGCCCTGCACCTTCTTGGCCTCAGAGACTTCTTGGATGAGGCGCTGGAAAGCCCACTCGGAGGAACTGCGGTTGATCTTGGAGGAAGGTTCGTCGGCTACTGCGGCGGCGGTTGTGGAAGAGGGGAGTGACGACGACGGTGGTGACGGTGGTGACGGCCAAAACTGGTGGTCGGAGATTTCGTCGACTGAAAAGACCCTATCCATTTGGAGATGTCCTGTGTTTGTCTGTCTACACATTTTTCGTCAGGTTTTATAGGGATTCAGATTTGGGTTAGTTAATTGGTTATTTGGGTTTGGTTGGTGGGGCCAGGATGTAATGTTTTAGCAAGGAATCTTGTGAAGTGGATGACGGTGCACCAATTAAATGCGGCTCGTTTTAGAATGTCATTCCTGCATTCGTCCTTATCCAGTTCTACAAGAAAAAATTTTTTTTTTTTTCTTAATTGTAGAAGGGAAGCAACAACCTCTTATTTTTTATTTCTCATTACAGATTCTTTTATTTTTTATGAGGAACATTTTTTTTATTTTTCCACCTACGTACAGCAATGGTTAACTCATGAATCAAAATTGGGTTGATTTAATAATTGTTAATTTTAAATTAAAATAAAAAATTAAAATTTTTGTGATATTAAATAGTTAATTTTTTAATAAAAAAATTAATGATTAATTGTTTTGTAATTCGTGTAGAATGAATAATAAAATACAGAGTACTCTTTTTATTTTAAGATAATTATTATTTTATTATTTTTTAAATTAATTTTTTTTAAAATTCATATATTTATTTATATTATTTTTAATAAAAAGTTAAATGATAAAGAGATATCTTTTATAATAAGTTAATTAATTAAAATAAATAAATAATGATAGAGTTAAAGTAAAAAAATATTTATTATTTTAAAAAT